TACTATAGAAAGCAGGAGCCCAAGGAAGAAGAGGTTCGTGTCCAGCCCGCGCTACGTGGAGACCATGCTGGTGGCTGACCAGTCCATGGCCGAGTTCCACGGCAGTGGGCTCAAGCACTACCTGCTCACGCTGCTCTCCGTGGCGGCCAAGCTCTACAAGCACCCCAGCATCCGCAACTCCATCAGCCTCGTCGTAGTGAAGATCATGGTCATTTATGAGGAGCGGAAGGGGCCCGACATCTCGTCCAATGCCGCTCTCACACTGAGGAACTTCTGCAGCTGGCAGAAGCAGCACAACCCGCCCAGTGACCGGCACGCCGAGCACTACGACACCGCCATCCTCTTCACCCGACAGGTAAGGGCAGAAGGCCCTAACGCTCCACTGTGCCCCCTGCTCCCCCCTGCAGGGCCCCTGTCTCCAGTTCATTCTTTAAAAACCTCTCAGAACAGCCTTGTGCCACTACAGGTTCCCCTGAGCAGGCTTTTGATTTATTCATTTATTCCACTGTTTGTGCTATCTCAGGTGAAGCCCACAGTACGTGCAAAGTGCTTCTGCCCCATATTTTTAGCAGGTTTAGTCTGGAAATTATGCATTTTATTTCTATGTGTAACCCCTGTGTATGTTCCAAAGGCAGATTTTTGCCATCATACCCATTGAAGTGCTGAATATTTATGCTTTTTCCATAAGTAAAGGCAACTTGCCAGCATTGGATTTTTCTTGCCAAGGTTAAGTCTCTGATCTGATTAATAATGAAACTGCCTTTTTCTGCAGGACCTCTGTGGTGCCAAGACATGTGATACTCTTGGGATGGCCGATGTGGGAACAGTTTGCGATCTGAACCGCAGTTGCTCTATCATTGAAGACGATGGTTTGCAGGCTGCCTTTACAACAGCCCACGAGCTAGGTACTTGAAATGTGAACTGAGATTTCTGTTGATTAACTGAAACCAGGCTGATGCTGTAAAGTGCAGAACACCCTATCCTGTGTTTGGGGCTTTCCCTGTGGGGCCTCGAGCATCCTGGGCTCCCCCAGGAATATCCCCCACACACCCAGGTTCATATTTGGAAAGCAGATCCAATCTGCACAGCAGTGTCTGTAAGAGTTGAATATTTGACTGTGGTTGCAGAGGGGGAAAAAAAAAAAAAAAAGCATATGTATTAAATTAGCCTGTGAGAAGGGCAAAGATAACTTGTAATCTGTTTAAAATTTGGCAGTGTTCACATCAGTCTATTCTTTCAATGCCTGAAGACTTAACTGTAGAGTAACATTTAAAACGATACTGGTTATGCAGATGTCRGAGACTGTAAAATCAAAATGACAAACTCTTCTTTTTTTTCTTTCCTTTTAAAGGCCACGTGTTTAACATGCCTCACGATGATGCAAAGCAGTGTGCTAGTATTAATGGGATAAGCCGGGATTTCCACATGATGGCATCCATGCTTTCCAATCTGGATCGAAGCCAGCCTTGGTCTCCATGTAGTGCCTACATGATTACAACATTTTTGGATAATGGTCATGGTAAGATTATTAAGCTTTCCATTCATGTGGTATTTAAGGCCACGTGTTTTACTGCCTTTTGCTTTTCTTTGTGCTTGCCTTTTCTTTTTGTTTGCTGTTTCTTTCCTTTTCTTTTTTCTTTCTTTTTTTCTTTTTTTCTTTTTAATGGAACACATGCAGCTTTCTGTTAACCTTTTCCATGCTGCCAGTAATTTTACAAGATCCCTGGYTTTACATAATTGGTGGCACAAATTGTCTTGAAAAACTTGAAGAATTATTTTATAAAGCAAACCCAGTTCCAGGGATGGAAATGCATTTTTTTTTTCCCCATAGAAACTGAGCTCACTGACAACATTGTGGTTTTTTTATCCTTCTTTTTCAGGTGAGTGTTTATTGGACAAGCCCCACAAGCCAATACAGCTTCCCTCTGACTTGCCTGGCACCTTGTATGATGCCAACAGGCAGTGCCAGTTTACATTTGGAGATGAATCCAAACACTGCCCGGACGCAGCCAGTACGTGTACGACCTTGTGGTGTACTGGTACTTCTGGAGGGCTGCTCGTGTGCCAGACTAAACATTTCCCTTGGGCGGATGGCACCAGTTGCGGAGAGGGGAAATGGTGCATGAATGGCAAGTGTGTGAACAAAACTGAGAAGAAGCATTATGATGTAAGTATTAAGAAAATCAGGCTATTCCTGTAGCATAGCACAAATAATACTTCAGTGTGAGTAATCAAAGCAGGCATAAGGACTTAAGTAAATTGAGGTGGCWGGTAAATTAAACAAGTTTACAGCTTTTCTGTAGAAAAGATTTACCTAAAAACTATGTGTCTTTTTGCATTTGCTGTATTGTGTTTTTTATTTCCTGTGCTACATTAACTATTCTTCTGCTCTCTGTCATTGTTCCAGACACCGGTGCACGGCAGCTGGGGCTTGTGGGGGCCCTGGGGCGAGTGCTCCCGCAGCTGCGGCGGCGGGGTGCAATACTCCTTCAGGGAATGCGACAACCCTGTCCCCAGGAACGGAGGGAAGTACTGCGAGGGGAAGCGGGTGCAATACAGGTCGTGCAATATCGAGGACTGTCCGGATAACAACGGTGAGCTCTTCACGTTTCTTGATGTGAAGGAAGGAGATCTTGTGGGTAAAGACCACATAAAGAGGATGGTCTCATGTCTACATGTCTTTCCCCTTTCAGGCAAAACCTTTAGAGAGGAGCAATGTGAAAAGCACAATGAGTTTTCCAAGTCTCCATTTGGAAGTGGACCTGCAGTCGAATGGACTCCAAAGTTTGCTGGTGTCTCTCCGAAGGATAGATGCAAACTGGTCTGCCGAGCAAAGGGAACAGGATATTTCTTTGTTTTACAGCCAAAGGTATTTCAAACTTATTCTTCCATCTAATCATGAAAAAGGTTTTTATTTCCTCCAACTTTCTGCGTAGAGTCAAGCGCAATGTCTGAAACTATTTTTAAGATTTCGTATATCTGAGCCAGATTGTTCCATTTCCCCTCCTACACGTGCAATCTGAAGAGTACAAGCTCCAAATGAAGAGTATGCTCCAAATATTCTGGCATGGTTCTTCCAATTATTCCACACATGCTGCCTTTTCTACCCACTCCACCCTAGTTTCCTTTCCTCTCCTTTCACAAAGTTGATTGCACTGAGATACTTTTGGAAACCGTGCAGGTTCTTTGCCAAAACAGCGGCAATTTCTCATCCTAGTAAGTAATATGCTGACAGCTTAAAATAAACAAAAGGAAAAATGTTCATTTTGCATAGCTACTTGAGTTCACTGTCATAAGTTGTTGAGAGCCAACAGCTACCAGGGTGACAGCACAGATGGTTTTTGTAGAGAAGTATTCACAGAATCACAGAATGGTTGGAAGGGACCTTTACGGATCATCTAATCCAACTCCCCTGCTCAAGCAGGGACACCTAGAGCACATGGCACAGGGTCACATCCAAGCAGGTTGGGAAGATCTCCAGAGAAGGAGACTACGCAACCTCCCTGGGCAGCCTGTTCCAGGACTCTGTCACCCTAACCCTCTTCTTTTTCCTCACCTAGAAAGAAAGAATGGATAGTGCACCCTTGAAAGCAGTTTGGGTCCTTTTACCTCAAGGCCAAGACTGTATTCCAGTGACATTATTAAAAAATGTTCTTGCTTTATACTAAATTAGTATAACAGTTTTTATAAAAGTAAAATGGACTGGTTTCTCCAGCTGCCATTGCACATCATTATGTTGAGAATGGTATGAACTAGCACCACACAACTCCTAAATCTACAGGCTGCTCCTGCTTTTAATTTCAAAAGCCTTGAAAACACAGGTGCAGCAGGTCTTCGCCTGTCCATATTTGACATTTCTAATGTGTCTGTATCGTGAAGTTTCAAAGGAACGTGCATCTTCTAATCAAGCACCCCTCTGCTCTTCCTCTAAAGGTTGTGGACGGCACCCCATGCAGCCCCGACTCCACCTCGGTGTGCGTGCAGGGGCAATGCATGAAGGCTGGCTGTGACCGGATAATGGGATCCAATAAGAAGTTTGACAAATGCGGTATCTGCGGTGGCAACGGATCCACTTGCAAGAAAGTCACTGGCACACTTGTGAGAGCAAAGTGAGTGTATGACAGCAGCCGCTATTTTGTTCTAGCTAGCATCGCGTAGGGGCAACCTTTTGGTTTCCTCTAAGAGAGGCAGCAAGAGGCTCTTCTTGGAGCTGAAATTTGATCACTCAAAACCRGTTGGTTGGTTGAGGTCCCGCTCAATGGAATTCCCTGACACACAGTCACACCTCTGTGGTGGCAACGCTGTGGGATGTGACTTGGCGAGTTCCTTCGTTCTTTTGCTCTGTCAAGTCCATAGCTTAAGGGCTTAATGTTTCAGCGTCAAATGAAATTCAGCTCTGTGCAGAACAACTATTTTGTTCTACCAGGGATGAACTGAGCACTCAGTGTGTGTGCTCTCTCTCCAGCAGGCCTGGCTATCATGACGTGGTCACCATCCCGGCCGGAGCGACCAACATCGAGGTCAAGCAGCGGAACCACAGGGGCGCCCGGCATGACGGCAGCTTCCTTGCCATCAAAGCTGCCGATGGCACGTACATCCTCAATGGGGACTACACATTGTCAACACTGGAGCAGGACATCACATACAAGGGCAGCGTGTTGCGGTACAGTGGCTCCTCTGCCGCCCTGGAGCGCATCCGCAGCTTCAGCCCCCTGAAGGAGCCCCTGACCATCCAGGTGCTCACAGTAGGGGACCTGCCGCAGCCTAAGATCAAATTCACCTATTTTGTGAAGAAGCCCGTTCAGCCCAGCTCTGAGAAGGTGCCTGGCAAAAGGAAGGAGTCTTTCAACGCCATCCGGGAGATCATCTCGTCCGAGTGGGTCATCGAGGAGTGGGGCGAGTGCTCCAAGTCATGTGGCTCCGGCTGGCAGCGGCGCTCAGTGGAGTGCCGGGACCTGCGGGGGCAGCCGGCCGCCGACTGCGCCCGCGAACTGAAGCCCAGCGACGTGCGGCCCTGCGCCGATGTGCCGTGCCCGCAGTGGCAGCTCGGGGACTGGTCGCCGTGCTCCAAGACGTGTGGGAAAGGTTTCAAGAAGAGGTTGTTAAAGTGCGTTTCTTATGACGGCAGCGTGCTGCCGCAAGAAAGCTGTGAGCCTTCCAAGAAACCGAAGCACCTAATAGACTTCTGCAACATTACTGACTGCAGTTAAACAGTATAGGTTGGGAAAGCTAAAGAGTTTATTTGTTTGTTTGTTTGTCTTTTTGCCTTCAGAACAATGCACTGAAAATAAGAGGCTAGAGGTAGCGCAGGTGATTTGTGTTCACAGTCATGAGAGGGTTCCTTGAGGTGGGAGAGTGCAAATAATTTCAGTTGGTGTTGCATTGTAAGGACATCCTGCCGACCGCAAATTTGATAGGATAGCAGACCAGTGTCACTAGTCCGTCTTCAGCAGATAAGGCCCCAGGGCGTTATGATTCCCCTTTTTAAGTATGCTACAAATTAAACAAAACATAAACAGTGGCCAAAACATAACTAAGCAAACCTTTTGGGGTTGAGTTATTTTTCCCTTCTTTTAGATTTGTATTGTGGTACTGATGAAGTCCCCAGTTTTCTYAAGGGGTGGGACAGCAGAGTAGAAAAGATAGCTTAAAATAATTGGTCAGAGCTTACCTACCTCACAAAGGGCAAAAAACAGGATTAGAAAAGGAGCTTTAACTATGTCATTMATGGCTGCTATTGTTTCAGAGAATAGTTTTATATAAAAACAAAGCCATATTCTCTACCTGTAAAGAGTAAAAAAAATAACCAAGGACACCACTCAGTCACTTCCACAGATGATTGAATGTTATTTTTCTTTTAAATATCTTTATGTCATCCCAGTGTGCCTGTCTGTTTCTCTCAACCACTCTGATGCATTTTTTGTGATATATGTAACCCAGAGGCTAGAAAGAATGGAAATCTTCATGGAGCAGGTAGTGCCTATATGGACCTCTGTGCCTTATGCATGGCTTACACTGTTTTTTGGATTCAGAACATGGTTCTGCCATACATTACCCATCTTGTAGCATTGAGGGTTGGAGTTACGCTTTCACCCTCTGATCTTTCCCCCAGTGCCAGCCAACAGTAGTTATTTGCATTTGAATAGCAAAGAGATCAAAGAAATGCCTGCTATGGGTGGGAACCTCCCCCATGTGGCCTCTGATGGTTTGTAGAGCTCAAATCACTGATAAGGCGGGAAAACAAAGCTGAAGGATAGCAGGTCCATCCACAGCAATACGCCAGCGTTTGCCTAATTAAAGTTTGTGCCAGTCCATAGACAATGAGAGAATATGGCTTTCCATATGTATATAGTAAAATATATTACTATAGATTTTATATACTTTATAAGTATTTTATATTTCTCTACCTTCTGGGAAGGGTTATAATTTGTAATAAATGCATATAATGAACGTATTTATTTTTATACTTCTTGTCTAATGTGATCTTCTAAGTTATCGCTTTTTTAAAAGGGCATATAACAAGGATAGAGTATTTATACAGTATAATATGTTACTAGAGGTAATAAATGAACCCTATAAATTTTGGAAGTGGAGCGTCTTTTTTTCACTGGAATAAAACTAGTATATTGAGCAGAAAGAGCTTAGTCTCTAAGGCAATGGTTAAAAAAAGTAAAAAGAAAGCTCTACCACTTTTTTTTTTTTTTTAAATACTGGTAGCTTAGGCTTCTAATTGAGTGTCTTAGCTAAGGGATTTGGAAAACTACCCATAATGTCATATACTGCATTACAGGAGTAATTTATTACCTAACCACTAACAGGATGCTCAGCACTGATGTTTCATCTTTTAAGAAAGTTGGAGTGCAACTAGGGAGATGCCACTGACTTTAATAAGGGCTTAGGAGACGTATATCTGTCAGCGGTGTTTATAACCAAGCAAGTATGAACAGAAGTAGCAGTTTTACCTGCTCTGCTCAACCTTAACCCTACTGGGAAAGATGCACTTAAAATTCAAAACCATTAACTCATACTCAGAGGTTTCCCTCACAGATTTCTGGAGGGCCTCATGGCCATGCTTTTCTAATTAGAAGTACTGTATGAATGAGCTGTTCTAACACTGTTGGTAACACGTTTTGTAATGCTGAAATCCATGCTCAGCATCAAGAAGCTGATTTTTGCTCCCTCATTTCTGATCTCATGACCACTGAAGTCGAGGGAAAATCTTCTGTTGAATTCGCTAGGATTTTTGCCATGGAATTTGAGACAACAGTCATACGTGAACATTCTTGGCCTTGTGTCATGCAAAAATCTATTAAAGCTCCCTTTGCCAATATTTGGACTGTCTTGCAGAAATAGTTCTCACTTTATTCCATKGATAAAATGCTGGCCCCTTTAAAGCATCAAGAAAAATTTTCATCGCGTCACACTTCATTTGAGTGTTACTTTGACACGCAAACGTACTATGGAATGGTTTACTTCGAATGTTATTTAGGAGGGAACCAATCTTTTTTTCTTCCATAAGTACTTAAATGTGAGGATTTTTTTTAAAAAACATATATGTGTCTATTTTTATATATGTGTGTTTCTATTTTTTAATATATGTATCTGTTTTACTCTAGCAGGTCAAAAGTCAGGAATATATACATTTGAAAGAGAAAGAAAAAAAATGTGTCTTTATTTTCATTTTTTCCTGCTGCTTTTTTTCCTGTAGCCTTTGTACTCTTCTGTGTTAGGTTGATATTGCTGGAAACATTCTCAGTTTAAGGGCCCAAAGAGCTACAGTGCTGAAACTCCTATGAAATTGGTAAGGTCTCCCAGCTTCTGGGTGATGCTGACAATCCAAGTTAGCATTCATCAGCAGAAATGGTCAACTCAGGGTTAAGAAAATGGAAGAAAACACTTCCTCCAAACCTCCTCATATCATTTAAAGCCAGATCAAGATGCTGGCATAACCTCACTTCTGTCAGTAGCATTTGAGGAGGGTCTTGGGAGAGGAAAATTATATTTCAGAGGCATCACCCTCCTTTGCTGGAGGAAATCTGGATCAAATTAAATAGTGCAAATTCCTTGTTTTTAACAAAAAGCAGGAAGCATTCTGTATTTCCAAAATGCCTAGGCCCAAATTACCTAGATTAGATCTGTCAGAGCTGTAGTTAACTAGATTGAAGGAAGAAGTGAGGGGTTGTGATAGAAGGTAAACTCGTTTGATATGTTAGAATTAAAAAACAAACAAACAAACCAATTTTTTATGCTCTTTCAAATAATTGCATAATAAAAGGAGTATCCTAAATAGTTAGGATGTAATTGTGGTCTGTTTTCTGTGATGGCATTTGTTGCTCCTGCGTGTAAACACAGCAACAAAGGCAACTCATTCCCTAAATTGGTGGTTCATTTGGCCAAGTCTGTGTTTCTCAGTAGAAGTTTACTGGTTACACATTTTTCTTTGAACAGTTTATGAATTCTCAGCAGTCATATCTGTTACACAGAAATATGGTCCTTGAAATTATAACCTGTTTCTGATAGATGCAGGTTATAGAGAGCATGTTCCAAATAATGAATTAATTGCATGGCAATATAAAAACTGCCTCCTTCCAAAAAGCAATTTAATTATAACAAAATCTGACATCAAAGTGGTGTTCCTCTGGGTGACCCATCAAAGGGAAACCTGCAAAAAGAGTGGTACCTAGCTTAGATGCTTAGCAGTTGACACCACATGCCAATTAAGCATCGACCCCTGCACAAAAAATCTGGCAATTTATAGCTTTTATTACCAAGGAATGGCTGGTTTGTTAAATGCTTTTTTTTTTCTTTTTTCTTTTTTTTTTTTTTGCAAATGCTCCTTGTTCTGAGCAGTAATTGCAGAATGTTATTACTGGGCCGCAAAGAAACATTTGAAAGTAGAAATGGCCCTTGAGGCTTCTACCAGGCCACATGTGAACGTAAGTGCTGGCGCCTTATGCCAGCCACAGTGCTCTCTTGCAGCTACCTACTCATTCCAAAAACAAACGAACAAAAAAGAAACAGAAAACTCTCATTTTTAGCCAGTTTTTCTTAGCTCTTTGCCCTGACAGGCCAAGATTTGAGTTTTCTAGTGGTCAGTGTTTCAGCTCAGGAAAATGTCACCCTGGTTTTGAGATAAACACCTTTTGTCTTGGTTTCCCTTTCAAGGTCACACAAGACAAATACAGTACAGGCCATTTCAGGCACRGTGAGCAGGAGAAAGACTTTCAGTGTCCTTCCAGAATTTGGGCACTAGGACAGAAATCTGGGTGCTGGACCCTCAGATCTCACTTTTGTAGAATCATAGAATCATTATGGTTGGAAAAGACCTTCAAGCCCAACTGTAAGCCCTTCAACATCCTGCCTGATGAACCATGTCCCTAAGAGCCTCATCAACTTATTTCTTGGACATTGCCAGGGATGGTGACTTCACTATTTCCCTGGACTACTCTTTCCATGTAGAAATTCTTCCCAACACCTATCCTGAACCTCCCCTGGCACAAATTGAGGCCATTTCTTCTTATCCTATCAGCAGTTATTTTTAAAACAGTATCTAAATCTGGAATTAACTGRGAGTTGAAAAAGCAATATATCTACATGGCAGAAATACTTTTCCAGTTAATTAGGACATAAAGTTGTAGTATTCATACTGGTTAAATACTGTAAACAGTACCACTATAAAATTTGGATTAACTGATTTCGTTATTTCCAGGAGGAAAAAAATGTCTGTCATAGCTATGTTCACTGCTGCTGTACTAAGCAGTGTTAAGTTTCACTATGTTAAGCTGCTATGTTCACCTCTCTTTAATCCAAATACTGCTGTGTAAACAAAAAATATTAGTATTGTCGAAGTAAGTGTTTCACCACTAACTGTAATACCTATGGTTGCAAAGTAGAATATTAGAGTTTGGKTTTGTACAACCTTTTGAAGAAAAGAAATAGTTACATATAAGCGGTATGAAAAACCCTTAAAATTTTCTCAAGCTACCGTATCCTCTAGCAGTTGATATCTGCATTTTAGAGTTATAAACTGACTGATTACATTTGGACCAGTATCTTTAATGTTGGGGCATTGACTTAGAGTAAAAAGATCCCCAGAGCGCGCAAAACCTTCAATTTGCCAGATGCTTATGTAGCTGGCTTTCTCCTTTTGACATGCAGCTCCTTACAGATTGTAATGTGGCAACTGGATTCAAGCACTGTGTATGTTTCAGTAAAAGTCTGGAACATCTTGTGCAGAAAAACAAGCAAGACCTTTGCTTCTATCATTGTCTCATTGCAAGCATGTAAACAGATGCAGGATAATGTTAATTGATTTGCCAAATGCTATAGGATGAATCACTGATATGGCCTAAGTGGAAAGGAAAAATTCAAACAAAGCATCTTAATCCACTAGCTTAGGTCAGGAAATGCAGAACAAAACGTCCTGAAGAAATTTAGAAAGTCAGACCGATAACAGTTCAATCTCCTTATGAAGCCTGAGTCCTTAAGACAAGGCGGATATTACTAGGAGAAAAGTTTTCTCCAGTTTAAGGCCGCAGAGACGTAGCAACCCCAGCTCCCTTCCTGCCACTGTGCAACGCTCATCCTTGACTTTTGTCCCGTTCTTCTTGAATAGAGTACAGTGTTATAGCACACAGAACCGCAAAGAAGAACTTATGATACTGACACCCTTTCTAGCAGGATGAAGTTTTTATCCTCCTTATACCTGTTCCTTTGCAGTTCAAAACCTTTATATTTTTCTAGTAAAATAGCAAGTACTTATCTGTACTCATTCATGATATTCACCCTCCAATCACAAAACAACTTACTTTATTTGCAGGAGATGGGTCAAAACATAGTTATGAGGTGCACAATGAATAGTGTTAAAAACGTTGTAGTTCTATAAATGTTTGTGGTCTCAAAGCCTGGGGCAGACTGATTACTGTGAGATTTGTACTCTCCGATCTATTTTACGCTCCATGACAGTGTGAGAGCTGATGCAAAAGAGAGCTAATGGTAGATAATTGAAGTTAAACTTTGTATACTACCTTTGTTCACAAGGTAGCTATATTTATCTTTATATTTTCATCCAATATATAAAAGGTTAGTCCTACATCATTGTTTAATCTATGACCGTAAACTAAGTCCCACATGCTGGGCTGGACAACATTTAAATTTTAGTATCCTAAATTCAGTTGATCTGTTGCAAGAACCATTTGAATTTCTACCAGGTCATGATTCTTCTCAGATAGCCCATTTGAGAAATAGTAGTATTTGCACTATTAGTTGTGCTTGAAGCCAAGCATAAGAAGAAGGTAGTTGCTGCAGTATAGAGGGGACTGTTAGAGGTAATAAAGGTGGGAAGTCATAAGGTAGAGACTATAATTAGTAGGGTGAGGCAAGCTG